TGTCATCATTTATGAAACACCAGAATCCTAAAAATAATAATCTATCTTGTCAAGTTAGCAAGTTATAGTCCCTACAAATCGTCAGCTTTGAGACAGAAATAGTGAAGGCAAAATCATGAATAGGATGAGTTGAGGGTAGGAGAGCATGGCAGACACCCAGAATCTAAACAGCAAGGTGAGTTGGTGACTGAATGAATACAGCAGCTAAATTGGAGATGAAACAGTGTTCTTATCAAAGGCTCTGGGGCAATATCATTCAAAAGAAGGAGATATGACAAGAGAGCTAGAGTGGGCAAGGGGGTTCAAGAAAATTTTGAATAATAGGCCTTCTTTACTTATTGTGGTAAAATTATGTATAACAAAACATTTACCATTTCAACGTTTTTTACGTGTACAGTTCAGTGACATTAATTATGTTCTACCATCACCACTATCCACTTCCAATTTTTTTCATCACCCTTAAACTCAGTGCCCCCTCCCCCCTCCCCCCTGCCCCTGGTAACCACTGATAAACTTTTTGTCTCTTTGAATTTGCCTATTCTAGATATTTCATAAAAGTGTGATCATATAATATTTGTCATTTTGTGTCTGACTTATTTCACTCAGCATAATGTTCTCAAGGTTCATCCAAGTTGTAGCATGTATCAGGACTTCATTTCTCTTTATGGCTGAGTAATATTCCATTGTATGTATATACTGCATTTTGTTTATCCATTCATCTGTTGATGGACATTTAGGTTTCCACCTTTTGGCTATTGTGAATAGTGCAGCAATGAACACTGATGTACAGTAGGCCTTCTTTTGAAAGTCCAGAGCCTATGTAATCTTCTGAACTGGAAATTTGACAGATAGTGTCTAGGTAAAAGAAAGCACTCTGTGGAGTACAAACTGGTTTTATCAGACTCTTGGTTTGGGTTCTATCAAAAATAGGCCCAAAGGGAGAAAAGTGGGGTGCAGAACTCAAATTCTAGTAAAAAGACCAGACATAATGGTCCTACTGAGACTGGAGGGACCTCAGAAGATATGGCCCACAGACTCTCTGTTAGCTCAGAACTGAAACCATTCCTGAAGCCAACTATTCAGACAAAGATTAGACTGGACTATGGGACATAAAAGAGTGTTTCTTAGCTCAAGTAGATGCATGAGACTAAATGGGCAGCTCCTGTCTGGAGGCAGGATGAGAAGGCAGAAAAGGACAGGAGCTGGGTGAATGGACACGGGAAGTACGGGGTGGAAAGGTGGACTATGCTGTCACATTATGGGGAGAGCAGCTAGGACCACATAGCAATGTGTCTATAAATTTTTGTATGTGAAACTGACTTGAACTGTAAACTTTCACTTAAAGCACCAAAAAAAAAAAAAAAAGACCCAAAGGAAAGGATTTGGATGTAGGTAATTTATTTGGGAGGTGATACCAGGAAGTACTGCAAGAGAGTGGCAAAGTCAGACAAGAAGGGAGGAAAAACCAGTAGAGGTGTATTAATGAACAGTTTGCGACTCAGTCCCACTGAAACATACCAAGGGGTGAGGGAGTGGGGTATTTATTCACCAGCTCTCATCATTGATTGAAAGTCGCTAATCAGGTGTTAACAGCCCAGCACTTCCAGCCTGCCTCATAAGCCAGTCAAACTACTTTTGCAGATAGAAAAGCCCCTCTGGCAGAGAAATGTAGGAAAACTTCTGAGGTGGGCCAAGCAGATATGGGTAGGGCACCCACAGTACCCACTACAGCAGGGGATAGGACACAGCTCAGATATGGGTAAGCATATGCTAGGTTAGAGATGTTCTATTTCAAACAAATGGGTAAAACTTGAAAAACGTTGAAAGCTACCATTCATTTGTATTACTCAAACCCTTGATACGATGTTATCTACCTGTGTTTTGTTCTTTCGTTCATTAAAAATATTTATTGATCGCCTATTATGTGTCAGGCTCTGTGATACGTACTGAGGATACAATGTTTAATGACAGAGTTGCTGCCCTCATGAAGCTTACATTCTAGTGGGTAAAAAAACAAAACAAAACAAAAAAACAACAAACCAAACCTGTTGCCGTGGAGTCGATTCCGACTCATAGCGACCCTATAGGACAGAGTAGAACTGCCCCATAGAGTTTCCAAGGAGTGCCTGGTGGATTCGAACTGCTGACCTTTTGGTTAGCAGCCATAGCACTTAACCACTACGTCACCAGGGTTTCCTTCTAGTGGATAAGAAGGACAAAAAGCAACCAAGCTAATATTTATTTATTAAGAGTTTCAACTCATTAGGGTATAAACATGAAATGGTATTATTTTTTCCAGTGATTGCTACTGTGTTTATTGTGCTTCTCTTTTCCCACTGGGAAGCAGGGGCAATGGTAAACATTTCAGACTGATTCTATAACTTTTCAGCTGCTTTTAGATATTAGAAGAGTCCCATTCTGATTTTTGTCTTTACTTACTCCAAGTTCCTGTCTGATTCAAATATCTTCTCTTCCTTTTTCCTCGAACAGATGAGACATGCCGTCCTTGTGGCTAGGAGTTTAGGGTGCATGGCAGGCTTTCACATATCTCCCCTTCTTCCTCTTCTTTTTTCTGGACCATCTCCTCTCATTGCCTTACAGAGGGAATAGCTGGGGAACAGGGAAAAGGAAAAGACAGATGCCTGGGGCAGCCTGTGTCTTCTCATCTGTTGATCATAATTGCTCTTCTAGCTGTCTGTGAGCACTATCTAACTGGCATGCTGATGAAAGACTCTTTCAAGCATCTCCTCTGGGTGTTGGAAGTCTGTTGTAAGATTTGATTACATCTTCTGCCAGAACTTCAGCTACTGGCATCAGGCCCCTTTCCCTCATGTACACGTCTCTTGTCCCATATTGCAAAGCCCTGGAAAGAATAATCTATTTTCCTAGTCCAACTTGGACCTTTGGGCATGTGCCAAATCAGTCTTCTATGGCTCTTGGGACCCAGGAATTTGGTGTATGTTGGGGGGTCAGGATTAGTCCTGGACCGCTTGTCATCTGCCAGTCTTCAACACACGATCCTCCCTGAAGGTTCTTTATCCCTGCTCCAGTGGTTCTGGGGAACTTCAGCAAGTCTGATGGTAAGTAGATGATGGTCAACTGGGTAAAGAAAAAGCCTATCTTATCAAAAAGTGTCTTCCTCCTCCTTCCCAGGCTTCATCATTTATTGACAGTGGAGAAGGTGGGGTGATAAGAAGGAACTGATTGTGCTGGATCTCTGAACCTGTGGCCTCAGAAGCCAACCTTTGAAGTTTTCTTCTGAATTTAGGATGTCAGGGTGGGTTTTTGAGGTCAATTCTGGGAAAAAGCATCCTGCCCAGTACTTGCTATTATTCTGTTACTCTTACATTCTGAGTAAGGTTCTGTACCTTTAAGCACAAATCAATTATTCAAAAATAAGGCTTTTTACAGAATTCCAGATCTTCAAGTGTTATCCAGATGCCATTCTTTCCTTTCCACCTGGTTTGCTTCTATTTTTTATTTCAGGCATCACTGTGCCTTAACCCTCATGGTCCCCTTTGCCATTTCTATATGTTGGGTTTATGATGAGCCCAGTGTATCTCTGTGGTGCTTATATTCTTAAAGAATCTTGGATGAGCCACTATATAGGTAACCAATTTATTGGAAAGTCTTAACTCACAGAAGACCAAAACTTAAAATTGTTTTGATTTTTTTCCCAAATGCTGCTGATGGTGTTTTAGCCAACCCCCTTTCCTGTTACGGGATGGGGAGACTAACAAGGCCTCAGTCCAATTCCATACTTTTTCAGTTATTTTTGTTTTAGAAGAGTTGCATTCCAATTATTTAAAACTCAGTCTTGTTCATTTTAAAACTTCAGTGGCAAAGTTGAGTAAAAACTCTTCCTGTCACATAAACAAAATAGGCATAAGTGCCAACCAGTTCTATGAATAAAACAAGCAAAGAGGTAAGCTAAAGATGAGCTAGAAAGTGAGGCTTACTTTAAAACAGGTGTCTTTGTTATCTATTCCTGCTATAACAGAAATACCACAAGTGGATGGCTTTAACAAACAGAAGTTTATTCTCTTGCAGTCTAGTAGGCTAGAAGTCTGAATTCAGGGCACTAGCTCCAGGTGAAGGCTTTTTCTCTCTGTCAGCTCTGGAGAAAGGTCCTTGTCATCAATCCTCCCCTGGTCTAGCAGCTTCTCCATGCAGGAACCCTGGGTCCAAAGGACATGCTATGCTCCTGGTGCTGCTTTCTTGGTGGTTTGACGTCCCCCATATACCTCTGCTCACTTCTCTCTTTTATGTCTCGAAAGAAATTGATTTAAGACACAACCTAATCTTGTAGATTGAGTCCTGTCTCATTAACATAACTGCCTCTAATCCTGCCTCATTAACAACATAGAGGTAGGATTTACAACACATAGGAAAATCACATCCTATGACAAAATGGTGGACAATCACACAATACTGGGAATAATGGCCTAGCCAAGTTGACACACATTTTTGGGGAACACAATTCAATCCATGACAATGGGGTAGTCAGGAAAGGCCTTTTTGTGGGACTGAGACCTGTATGATGATAAGGAATTAACTGCATGAAGAATAAAGGGGATTATCTCAGGAAGAAGGAAGACAAAGTTCAAAGACCATGAGGTGGAAACAACCATGGCATGTTCCAGGGACGAAAAAACAAAAAAAAGGCCATAGTGGCTGAAACATTGCCAACAAAGAGTGTCGTGAAATAAGATTAAAAAGGTAGATGAGGGGCCACACCATGCAGGCCCTCGAATGCTAACAGAAGGATTGCAGATTTTACTCTGAAGCTGGTGGGAAGCCATTGAAAAGTTTTAAGTAGGGAACACTAAAACTATTTGATTGTACACTTTCATATTTTTTCCATTTGCATAAAAATAAAGCCAGAAGTTACCAGATTGTCATTATTTCTGTAATGTGTCTTTGAGAAATGTGAAATCATAGTTGTTGCTTTGTTGAGGCAAAGATCTGTGATTTAAACCTCATGTTCCTTGTTTGACTTTTCAGCTGCCGAGGAAAGTGAAAGATGAAGCCACCATTTCTTTTGGTCCTTGTGGTCTGTTCTGTAGTCAGCACAAATTTGAAGATGGTTTCAAAGAGAAATTCTGGTAAGTTTCTGGCAACTTCTCACTATTTTGTCAAAAATGTGTGTTTTTGTGAGCATCCAGGGGGCTTCTGTGTCTTTTAACTATGAATATCTTTAAACAGAAGCATTTGTATTCCAGCTATGTTGGCAAGTGGCCAAAATAAAAATGAGGTTTTAGCCTACCACTGAGAAAATGTTGGGGAACTGGTAGAATTTTGTTAAACCTCCATCGCTAGTCTTCTCTCAGGGAACAATGAAATGTTAAGGCCTTGTGTTTTCCAAAGACACATAGACCTTCTTAGGGTTGGTTGACTTTTGTAAATGTACACCTGGGAGCAAGCATTTACAAATGAAAAGGTAGGAAACATTTAAAAAAATACATCCTTGACATCCTAATTGAGTGTGTAGCATTATAGTTTAAACAAAAGATTTTGACAAATAACAGCGAGCTTTCGTTCCTCACATTTGTACCAAATCCGTAATACGCAGAAGTTTAAAGCCTCCAAGTGAGGAAATATTAGCTAATTGCCTGAAGAGGAATTTCTTGAGAAGAAGTATCTATTCCTAGAACATGGTGGTCTGGCAGACAGCCATGATTGAATTAAGAGATTAGCTGTAACCAGTAGACATCCTAATCAAAGCTTAATCATTGTTTAATACTTGGATATATATGTCTTTCAGTTTTGATTATACATTCTAACTATAATTACAAACCATGCATGAGATTTTAAGAATTGATTTTGTGTCTGTAATCACTCTAGTAAGACACTGAGAACTCTGTTACTATATGGAAACCAATGATTACAATGGTTCTTTCTACTGGCTTCCAATTCAGTTATTTTCCAGAATTAAATGCATGCTCTTTACTTTCTCATGAAGTTTAAAATCCAGGCAATAAAGTACAAGCTTATTTTTCAAAGCAAGAGATGCTGGACTTGAAGTTTGGTTAATGTTTGTTTTCTGAGGCGAGAATATTTGCTAATTGAAATACCTAAAGAAAATTGTTGTTCTTCAATTGATAGTATATTAATAAATCTTTCACAAAAGTGAGTCACAAGTTATGAAATAGAGCAACACTGCTGAAGTCCAGAGGATTCTGGATTGGTAAAGGTAGGGCTTTTTCTTCCCCTTATAGACTGATGTATGTATTTAAATCACTTGTATATTGTGACTCTCTTTAAGCTGTATTTATGTGTAACATTTTACCTATTATATCTCCAACTTGGCATATCATTCTTGGCTGCCGTTTCTTGCCTTGCTTTTGAAGTAACACTTTCACTTTCAATCTTGGTTCAGATTGATTATTGCTGAAATAAAACACTTGGAGAGATTACTTTCTAGCAAATGTAACCTGTTGAACCAGATTTCATTTTCCTCACTTGGTTATGTCATAATGTCTCTAGCTGCATCTGAAAAGGGGGAAAAAAAAGAATTGAGCGTTTAAAAAGCCATCTATATTATGGTAGCTTAATTCAAGTAAAATCTAGGCTAAAAGATAGAAACAAGTTACTACTTATGTGTTCTGTCTTTTTTTTTTTTTGCTGTGCCTATTATTTATGAGGAGAGAGGCTGTTAAAAAAATATGTAGGTAGAGAAGGTTATCAGTGATGCACAAGTGCCAATCAAATATCAGCTTTTTAATGCTTTACCCCCTTAGTCTTGTCAAGCGTGGGGCTGTTTGTGGCTTAATAGGGATACTTAGCTTTGTCTTCTTAGTGTGACCAAGTGGTATCATATGACACTCTAATGACATATGCACTCTAATTAATGACAGCTTCATTGAAGAAACATTGCCCCAAAAGATATCCTCCTTAAAGGAAGGTGTTTGAATGGTTTCAGTCTCCTTTCTCCTATCCCTCTATTCCTAGTCACCTCCCAAAACAATAGCAATTGTAATATTGGAACACAACTTTTCTCTAGGTCTGGGAAATGGAGATGATTTGAACGTACGGTTGGTCTTTCTCTCAAGCTTTCCTGCTTCTCTTTGGTGTATATATGGGGTTGGCAGAGAAGACTAACAGGTTGATGTTGGTTTTTGTGTGTCTGTGTATGTTGTTTTGATTTCTTAATACAGAAAGAAAATCGGGCATAGGATGAATAAGGGGCATCGTAAGTTGCCCACAGCTGATGAAAGTGGGGGCATTTTGGCACAATTCTTTTCACTCATTAGGTTTCACTTATGTTAAGAAATCTCTGTTATAACCCCCTCCCCCTTCCCAGCCCTTGCACAGTTGCTATTATTATTATTTTATGTGGACAATAGAATTATTTGCACTCTAATTAATGACAGTCCTATTTTAGGTGGCCTTATCTTTTTTTAAAAAATTTTTTCCCATACAAAAATTTATACATACATTGTTACGTGACTCTAATTGCTCTCCCTATACTGTGACAGCACACTCCTCCTTTCCACCCCTGATTCCCTATGTCCATTCAACCAGCTCCTAACCCTCTTTGCCTTGTCATCTCACCTCCGGACAGAAGCTGCCGGTTTAGTCTCTTGTGTCTACTTGAGCTAAGAGGCACACTCCTCACGAGTATCACTTTATGTCCCACAGTCCAGTCCAATCCCTGTCTGAAGAGTTGGCCTCGAAAATTGTTTTAGTTCTGGGCTGATAGAGAATCCGGTGGCCATGCTTTCTGGGGTACCTCCGGTCTCAGTCAGATCATTAAGGCTGGTCTTCTTACTAGAATTTGAGCTCTGCACTCCACCTTTCTCCTGCTCCATCTGGGACTCTGTGCTGTGTTCCCTGTGAGGGCAGTAATTGGTGGTAGCCAGGCACCATCTAGTTCTTCCAGTCTCAGGCTGATGAAGTCTCTGGTTTATGTGGCCCTTTCTGTCTCTTGGGCTATTATTTTCCTTGCGTCTTTGGTGTTCTTCATTCTCCTTTACTCCAGGTGGTTGGAACCAATTGACGCATCTTAGATGGCCGCTTGCAAGTTTTTAAGACCCCAGATGACACTCACCAAAGTAGGATGCAGAACATCTTCTTAATAAGCTTTGTTATGCCAGTTGACCTAGTTGTCCCCTGAACGCATGGTTCCCAGACCCCTACCCCTGATACTCTGTCCCTCAAAGTGTTTGATTGTATTCAGGAAACTTCTTAGCTTTGGTTTAGTCCAGTTGTGCTGACTTCCCCTGTAGTGTGTGCTGTCCTTCCCTTCACCTAAGATAATTCTTTTCTACTATCTAGTTAGTAAGGTGGCCTTATCTTTTGAGGAACATTAAAAATGCTTTGGCAAGTCTGTAGTTCAAAATTTTACTTTATGCAATTTGTGAGGTCCTTTGGCCTTTGACAGTTAATGAGATCCAGGTTCAAGCTTGTACGGCTGTCCTTGGAATCACCAATGGAATGAAGAGCTTTTATTTTTCTCCCCCTTTGCCTTCCCCCAAGTTAAAAAATAAAGAATGATTGTGCCCTTTACTCATTAACATTTATAACTATTTAGTGCCTGACGTGAAGCCAGTTATGATGATTTCTGTGCAGTTACTTGTAGACAGGGATCCCTTTCAACTAAGATCCCTACAAGTATTGATGCCAAGGGCCTCCCTTATGCACAAGACAGAGGACCAAGGAATTTAAGTTTCTTCTTCTGTATTTGTCAAGGAAGGAAAAGAACTTAAGAGTAGACATGAGTTTTTTATTTTATTTATTAATTTTTAAATTTAGTCTGGACACACATGAAAGCAAACCTGGTTTCTGGTGATGTACAATTTTTAGAAGCCACCAACACAGGTTATATTTCACATTGGGCAAGCCCAACCATTAACCTTGACTCTGAAAACAGAAAAGGTGGCTCTGAGACTGCATCTAGGGCCTGGTTGCATTAGAACTTACTAAACTTACTAACGTTTAATATTAAGGACTGTAACGGATTGGCCAAGTGTTGGTTTGTTGTCTTCTTTGCAGAGTACTCATGCAGGGAAGATTTGATGTTCCAGCGGGGCAGTGGTAGTTCAGTGGTAGGTAGAATTCTTACCTTCTATCCAGGAGACCCGGGCTTAATTTAGAACCAACATACCTCATGCACGGTTGCCACCTGTCACTGGAGGCTTGCATGTTGCTATGATGCTGAACAGGTTTCAGCTGAGCTTCTAGACTAAGATGGACTAGGAAGAAAGGCCTGGTGATGTACTTCCAAAAATCAGCCAGTGAAAACCCTAGGGATCACAATGATCCGATCTGTAACCGATCATGGGGATAGCATAGGACCAGGCAGTGTTTTGTTCATTGTACATGGGGTTGCCATGAATCAGGGGCCGACTCGATGGCAGCTAACAACAACAACAAGTACACTCCTGATGTCCTTCAGTACCCACATTCTCTAAACTTATGAGTAAATACATAAGGCCCTTTAGAAAGTTTACGGTATTAAAAGTATGTTTACTTAAAGATGTCATTCTTTATGGCAGGGAATTGGATAATATCTTGACAAAATCCGATGGCAGAAATGTCCATTTCGTTTCCCAGTAGAGGATACCTACATCTAAGACTAAGTTTTAATAGGACGGATGAGAGAAATTATTCTCCATCAAGAAGTCACTCATGAGCTTCTATTTAGTTATTTCTTTTTATCTGAAAAATTATGTCCCCAGAGTATACATAGACTTTATTATTTGGGATATTAAACTGTTCCCTTTGCTTTTCTTGGGCCACTACTTCTGCAGCAAAATGTGTGCTGTGTTATAGAGTTGTTGGCATTCAGCTCTCACAGCCTGGATCTCCAAATCGGAGAAGGGCATAGGGTGACCAGTTTGATGAGAGGAGATGTTTAGTTTTGAACCCAAATTATGTATCCTGCAGTCAGTTCATCTGGAAAATGACCATTGAAAGCAATTTCTCAGTGATGTGGTGTTAGAAGGAATATTGAAGAGCTACCAAAATATCTGAATCAGCTAGAAAAATGTAGTCCTGAGTGGTGAGGAGGGTTTGAAGACTTGCTGGTACACAGTAAGTCCTTACAGACATGTGTTGAGTGACTTGAACAGAGCCACTCAATTCCATATAATGATAGAATGGT